TATCAACAACAAATTTTCACCAAAACGTAAAAACTTAAACTGGAAAAATTTCAAAAACAGATGGATGAATTCTCCTGAAATCTAAGGTTGACTGATGTCAATCTTTGTCCAAAAAAATGTCTGGTACCCGATTGCCACGCGTTTTCCTCCCCCCTGCTAGCGATCTTATAGGGTATCACAAAAACTGTCTATGTCCGTTCCCCCCTACCGATCCGACCAGGGTACCTACCTTAACCATGTTTTAATTTTGGATATCCGCTTCTTATAACCAACGCGTGTAAATATCTAATGTAACTAAATCGACGATGCCGAACAATTAGTTACTCTAACGTGTCCCCCCTTTTTACAATTTACCACCGCTAACCTCTAACCTAACCAGCCCCCCTGCTAACCTCCCCCCTCTTTAGCTCCCCTCTTAAGCCGAAAAATCCCTTAAGCGCCGGGTGCTAAACCTCTCGAGAGAAAACGGTAGACCTGTTTCCAGGCCTGCTTGTGTAAAAATTTCCTCAAAACAATGGGGCTCCGCTTATCCAATTTTACACTTATCTCCTATAACGTAATGTGGATTCTAACGATACCCGTTGCCCAACTTGAGAACACCCCTGTGCGTCCTCTTGTAGTGACCCTGTGCTGGTTGTCTCTGTTCTGCACTTGACAGCAGCACCACTTTCCCACTTGGCTGGTCACCTCTTCCAGTCAAGTTTCCAGTGGGTTCAGCTCAGTACTTCTGAACCACTTTCCCACTCGGCTGGTCACCTCTTCCAGTCAAGTCTCCTAGTGGTCCGGTTCGATCCTTGTGAACCACTTTCCCACTCGGCTGGTCACCTCTTCCAGTCAAGTCTCCTAGTGGTCCGGCTAGGTTGCAATCTATCTGAAAACCCTTAACAACGCCCCCCACTCGGGCACCTTAATGAAGTCACTGGTTTAAATTGCTAGATTGATCGAAACGATCGGTCTTATAAAACAGTATCGGTATACTATTTAATTAATATAAAGGTTTGATCCAAATGATCCGGTATCAAAGTCACTGTCTTTTCGTTTTATGGTTTTTGTTCCTTTTTCTATACTTTTTTCTTGTTTTTATCCCCCTGGTTGCCCCCCTTTACTCGGTTAGCTAGGCCTCGTTCGGAGAGCGTGCCAAGAAGTTTTCTCAACTTTTCTTAAAAAGCTATCACGGTACAACCGGAAGGTTTACACGTTCCCGCTGGACCGTACCACCGGTACTCTAGAATGGGCATGCAGCCCGGAGCTGTGTCAAGTGGGTTCGACTCCGTAGTCATGATGTCGTAAAAACACCCAGGAGCGCCATAAAAACACTATGTAACAGTCGCCTACTTCGGTCACATATGAGGCTTAAGAAAAATAGGCCCTATAACCATTGGCTCAAGAGTCAGGGACACTATCTCTTGTGTTTTTCTACCTCAAGAACGTTCGGAGCCAATTTGGTTCGCTTGCGACATGAGACTAGAACCCGTTACAGCTTAAAGGCTACTACCAAAATATCCCCCCACTCTAGAAAATAAGAACGTACCCATACTTAGGTCTCAAAATACCCAAAATACACGAATGCCGTTAAAAACAGGGTCGGAACAATCCGTTAAGTTACTTTTTATTGGACAGTGGAACTTTGATCCATTTCAGATGGATCAACCTAAAACTCGCCTTATCTCAACATAACAATCATAAAACACACTCGAGAAAATTAAATTAGGGACTCACATGTTGATGCACTCAAGCACAGGGAGTAATTAAATTGGTAAGACAATAATTAGACAATATAACTAGATAAGTTTAATACTGGTCAGTTTTGATAACAGAAGTAAGTTCTGACTCTAGAATTGGATTTTTTGTATGAACCATTGGGACACTCAAGCTGTCCACCTTTCCATTGAAGGTTCACTCTGGTTTGTTCCGAATAGTTGTTCTCTCTTCTTTTTATTATCTCTCCTCCTATTTCGGGACAAGATAGCTCTACTCGTGTCTTATTTTGTATCTGGAAATTGCAAATAGCAATTTCCCGCTGTTCTATTCAAGCACTTTCCCGCGATTGTAAATCGATCGTTCTGATTCTTCACTTTTTGTGTTTTCAGTTGGTGCGAGAAAACTGAGCATGACAGGCTCCATTCGAAATTTTGAAAATAAAAACTTCACTCCAAAATCACGTATTTTCGTGTCCCTCAAGGTCAAAATTCCAGATATGACCGACTGGCACAAGGCTCACATATGGGAACACCGAGACGAAGAGCGAGAGATATTCGGAGATGGATATTGGAAAGTTTGAGGCCCAAAGAACTTGACGGCAGGGCGGTGAGCCAAGCAGACTGTAGCTTACCCTCGAAAGACTTGGCGAATGCGAGATTTATTGTCAGGTGCGTCGGTGATCAGATTATTAAGCCGGGTTCTGTATACGGGGTCAGACCAAGACTTCTGAAAGTTGTTCTCGGGGATAGTGGTGGAGCCAGAGAGCTCATACCATTGTGACAAGGCTCCTTCATACAAAGAGTCAGAGGCTTATTGAGGATTTCGGAACAAAGGCGTGAAGAACTGCCAACAGACGAGAGATACCCGCATATGGCAAGAACAGACGCAGATCCTAATCCGAGACCACCTAAAGCTGCGGGAAGGGACGCTTGCTTGCGGGCGTCAATATCAAGTCTTATGTTGCAGATGCTCTCGAGGCTGGAGTAGAGGATGTCGTCGTATTTAGCTAAGAGTTCAGGGTAGTTCAAACACGGAGAGGAGCGAAGTATATATAACAACTTCGGGATAGAAAACGAACTCTTCAAAAGAAAGAAAGCATGATGAGCCTCGATGTTTTTCAGACGCAAACACATGCGCTCCAAATCAGCTATCTGGTCACTGAGAACATTGGAGATGGTAAGATTCCCTACAGGAGCCCCCAGGATTATCAAGTTGTCGATGCCCGGAGTTTCTATCAACGGGGAGATCTTGTTGAACTCTGACAAGATGAGCGACTTTTGTGTCTCCGATGAGTTGCCTAAAAAATACAGTTCGCACTTGGTGGGACGGACCTCGAGACCTAACTTGGCACTTTCGGAGATGATCATGCGGAAGTCGCGCAGGACGATGGCGTAATCTCCGCCTAAGTTTCCATCATCTAGATACCACAGGTTCAACTCTGATTCTACTTTGTGGGTGATTTCGTTCACAGTATCACAGAAAATTGGCGGTGCCTCAGGGTCGCCTTGCTGACCACCTTCGTCTGAAGACAAAGCGGAATCACCGATGAAAAGATGTGATGCGGAGTCATAAGCTGCGTGCGTATAAGGATAAAGACCTGGATAACGCTCGTGGATCAGAGATAAAAACTTGTTCCGCGAGATGGAATTGAACGCGTTCTTGAAATCTATTTTGAGAATGACCTTGCCGCTTCTTTCAATATTGTCATGTATGTACATTCGCGTGGCATGGACTGCAGCCTCTGCTCCTCGAGGCGTGCCATAGCCTAGTTGACGGGCGCCGTATGAATCTTTTCTAGCAGTTGAGTAGGCGCGTCCACCACATTTGGAGGCCAATCTGCGGAAGACTTTTCCCACAGCAATGGGACGAACTCCTCCAGTCTTCTTGCTCATGGCGAACAGGTTAACTCCAAACACAAACGGGCGAATGAGAGCCGGGACTTTTCCTGCCAGAACGATGTTGATAAAAGACGTGAGACTACTCAAGAAGGGCTGTGAGGCTTCTCCACGTTGACTGATCAGGTCTTTAAGAATCTGCGGAGTCACTCGATTAGGCCCAGCAGCAGAACCAGAAGCAAAAGACTGAATGGCTTCGGAGACACTGGAGACGCGGCAAACAACCGGAGACTCTGAAGAAGGGACTGGAATGGAGGAGACAGCATTGGAACGCGGGGGATGTTTTTTCCTCAGCTCGTCCACAACAGCAGGGTCACTAGGATCCACCATTTCCTCATCTGAGGAGGCAACACGAATGGCGCCTTTGATGTCGGAGGCTTCTATCTTGGCAGAGACGCGCTTGCTCAGCTCTTCAGACGGAGACTGCGTGGAAGGCTTAGGTTTCCTCGCTTTCTTTTGGTCGCGAGTGGCTGGGGCTTCTTCACTAGACTGGAAAGCAGGAATCCGCTCATTGACCTTGGGAGCTAGTGACTGACTGTTATTATTATCCTTCTTGGTTGCTGATAGGCATTTACCAATAAGAGTAAATAAACTGCACCAATGGGACAAAAGATCCGGCTGTGAACAGATTTTGTCAAAAACAGTAATAAAAGCACGGGCTAAGTTGTTCCGTGAGGCTTTAGGAACACGCTTGAGGCAGTCAAGTCTATCAGAACAAAAAGCACGCAAGAGTTTTATGCACTATGGTTCGTTGACAGAACTTACTACGTCGTACTCTGAGGTACCATGGTTCCTTCATTTGCTCCCGTTGACTTTGTGCACTCGTACCAGTCCAGCTTGAGTGAGTTGGACATTCACCTTGCATACTTTACAACGTCTGACAGGTACATCCGCTGCTTCACATGATCCGCATCGGAAAAACGTGAGATTGTTCGCTGCGTCCTCACTCTTGATGTTGACACATTTGCCGTGAAACCAGGAGTCGCAGGCATCGCAGCCAACCATGAAACCTTGCTCATCTGGAGTTCCACAGAAGCAGGATGTTGGTCGCTGGGATGCGATGCGCCCACGGGATTGAGTTGTCCGTGTCGATGCCATGTTGTGATATTCGTCAAGTCTTCAGTATGCCATATTTATGGCTGGCTCGAGTGGGTTTTCGCTAGTATCCGAAATTGCCCAATTTGTATTTAACGCAATAGCCCTTGAAGTAATCTATCTACTTGCCGTTGAAATTTTCCAATTGCTTGCATACATAATAAGCAGCAATTAAAATGCTCGATAAGATAACCTTTACGGCATGCAATAAGAACACCACCACGGACACCGTCAAAGAGTCCAATGATTGTCAACCAAGAGTGAGCATCTCCTCGATCGATTTCGTCTTGACATTGCGAGATATGAAACTATTTAATAAGTTTATCACAACAATTAGGCTAAAATCTAAAACGATTCGCTAGCGTCTAAATAGAGCATTAAGTTCTTCTAACCATCTCTTCTATAGCTAGTTCAATATGGTCCTCGAAACATCGGGTCGACAAAATCGTTACTACTTAAAGGCTATCGGCTAAACCGCACAATTTAAATTAGTTGCATGAGAAATAGTGAGCTCATGGTTGAATCTCAGCATCCCCAGTCCACTAGGCCACCCTTTAATACAGGACTGAAACTCTATTAATATTAAGTTAGTATATTACTATTTTTAAAAGAATTATTAAAATGTGAATTCGAACTTTTTCGGAACTATGTCCATCGTCAGGTTAATGAAATTGATATAAAATGAATTACAGACGTTAAAACATCATGAAAGACCTTTAAGTGGTTCTAAACAAAAAAATTATATCTTTCCGATAATCAAATTTAAGCATTATTATGTAAGAAATTCGTAATCTTTACCTTTCCTCAAAATTCTGAGATTTTAGATCTTACTTAGCGTTTCCTTATGTTAACTTTTCGATTTTACAAAGTTTTCGATTGACATGTTCGATATCCTAAGCCAAAAAAATTCTTGGACTAAAATCTAAAAATTAGCTCCCTACTCCTGAACTCAACCCGCGTGTTGACCCCTGGCCTCTGATTCCTAATGTGCAGCGCTTCTAATATTAAGAGTTTCATTGCATTGTTTGACTGATCTACTATCTCCTAACTCAAATGAGCTGCTGCCTCTTCCTCTCCATACTGACGTCTTTGTACGCCTACAGGCGAATCCTTTTTCTTGTGTTCTTCAATCCTTGCGGCCAAATGTCGAACAGTTTGTCTAACATAGATGGAATTACATCGCTAAAACGCGCAATTTAACATATGCACGCATGCACTCTTTCTCGTTCTGAGTTGAACGAGAAAGAGTATCAAGTCTCTTTCTTTTCAGCTCCTGGATTGTATTCTCATCATACAATCCCCGTTCTGGCTAGCCTAATTGTTGTGATAAGCTTATTAAATAGTCTCATTTTGAATGCGATGTTGCGACGCGGTGACACTGACGAATAGCGATCAATCGAACAAATAGCGATCAATCGAACGACCTGAGAGGCACAGTTGGTCGAGTGGCTACAACGTGCACTTCCCAGCAGAGCAACCTGTGTTCGAGCCCACCCAGGAGCGGGTTTTGTGGAGCTGTTTTCCTACAGCCGGATCGGAAGCCCTCTCTGGAAAAAGCACATCTTTCCGGTCGCCATTCATCTGGTTACAGCAACACAACAGAGCAGCACAATCAAATTCAACATACAACTAGCGGTAGCGTGAGGTTCAAGGCTCTGTGGTAGAGCAGCCGCTTTGCATACCAAAGGTCGGCAGTTCGAGCCTCACCGACGTCGAATCTTTTTTTTTTGGTCCAAATTTTTTTTTCCACGTGTCTATCTTTATTCTGAGCCTTTCGAAAGACTTATAAAGAATGGAAACTGAACGCTATCAACAACAGAGATCGTCTGGATAGCGGAATACTGTTTGCCGGCACTGCGTCAAAAGTATCCATCCTGGAAAAGATGTCTTCCTCTGTGTTGCTTGCGGATATCGTCTGCATTTTTCAAAAGAATGCAAAGGCTTCGATGAAAGTGTTCTGACTGCTCTCAAAACTGTCAATCAAAATGTACTCCTTATCTGCAACATGTGTATCGACAACAACGAAAGAGATGCTTTTCGGTCAAAGATGTTCTGAATTTACAATTAAGCTTGCCGACAAGTGTGAGAGCTTGGAGTATGCAATCAAAGCAACTGATCAAAAGATGCAGTTTCTTGCTGAACAAATGCAGAATATTGCCGCTATCAAAACAGTCGACACTGTGGATGACACAGAAACATTGATGAAGGATATAGTGAAACCCCTGCAGGGGTCGCTCACATCCATACAGAACATAGTTAGCAAAATTTAAGCAGCGCCGAGACAAAAAGATGAGAAATGATCCGATGAAAAAAAAATTGAGTATCAAATACGCATCGACGGTATAGCCGCAAACAAAAAAGTGTCTACGATCAGAGCAATTGAAGACGAATACAAAGAAGTGATGTCTGTCTTCAAAGCTGTCGGTGAAAGTCCCGTTGTACATGATCTGAGAAGACTGGGTAGAAAAACTGAAACTCGAAAAAGACCAAGAACAATTCTGGTGAGACTCAAGTCTGTCAATGAGGTTAAACGCATACTTGCCAGAGCCAAGCAGCCTTAGAAAATCAGAAGAAACCAAGAACGTGTTCGTCTCTCGAGGACTAGCGAAAGAAGAAATAGCCCAACAGAATGCAATCTTGAAGAAAAGACTCGAACTTATCTCCGCTGGAGCTTCAAGAGAATCTCTTTCTATTCGTAACTTGACTCTATACAAAGATGGCAAGAAGTACGAGCTAATTCAAGAAGACCAATGACTACAAGAAAAACTTTGTTGACTGATCACGTGACCTGTTTGACTGATCACGTGCCACATTCTACTCTGTTCTTACCCTAGTACGAGCTGACCAGCAAGAATATGAAATGTTATGATAGTACAGGAAATACTCGTCATGGCGGAGTACTGATCGGTGTCAAAAAGTCACTGCCATCTGACGGTGTCGAGCTCAACTTGGATTTTGACGATGTGTGCGCCTGTTTTGTCAAGAATCTCCAAGTGCTGATCGTGACAGTCTACAGTGCTGACAATGGAAGTCAATACGGATGGAGCATTGCACAGTTTAGTTCCTTGTTCAGTAGTATCCAGTCGTTTTGTGATGAGAAAAGGCAAGGTGTTCGGGTGATTATTGCCGAAGATATCAACATGCTCCAGACGACTGGAACTCTTTCATGTCACCAGACGAGTATGAATCTGAGGTTTTAGATCTTTTGCTCGCGAACAACTTCTCCCAATTACTTCGGTATCCGAACAATGAAAGCGGTTTGCTGAACGTCCTATTTACCAATGATCAGGAGATGGTGATAAACTGTTTTGCGAACAAAGAATTGGAAGCGAAGTTGCGGTACAATGAGAGATGCTTCTCCAATCACATGCCGTATTTAGCTGTCCTGCACTCAAGAGAAGAAGTTCAAGTCTTCAAGAAATTTTTTCCAGCAACCGTGTCCTTTGCGAGCGGTAACTTCGATGAGTTGAACGAAAAAATTTTATTGTATCCATTCGATCCCATCTGCTATAGTAACTGCGATGTTCTTGTCAGCTCTTGTTATGATTGGGTAAGACGAAGAATTGAGGAAGTGTTTCCGGAGAAAACCAGCCACCGCAAGATCTTCATAGATCTTGATGAAGAAGCGGTGCTTACACCAATTCGCTGTTACGACTTCGATGTTTCTGTGGACAAGTTGTCTGGTATAATGCAGAAACTCAAGGTCTCAAAAAGTGGAGGAGAAGATTGTTTACCAGTTCGCTTGTTCAGAGAGTGCCATTCCCTAGCCAAGTCCCTACATCTGTTTTTCCGGACTCTCAAATCCGAAGGGAAGTTCCCGTTTGCCTGGAAAGAGTCAGTGATCATCCCAATTTTTAAGAAGGAAGATGAAGCCAATGTTGCCAACTACAGGCCAGTGTCGCTCTTGAATATAAACTCGAAGACCTTTGAGAATGCTTGTTCGATGCTGTTTACTCACACGTTCAGCCTTACTTGACGAAACTCCAGTATGGGTTCATGAAGAGGCGCTCTACAATCTTGCAACTATTGGAACTCACAGACCGAGTTTATCATGCTTTATACTCCAACAAACTTAGCCATGTCGAAATTGTATTTCTTGACTTTGCTAAGGCTTTCGATAAAGTCGACCATTCTGTCCTTACTCGGAAGCTCTGGCAATGGGGTTTCGGTGGTGAACTTTTTGCAGTTCTGAAGGACTATCTGCGCAACAAGCGCCAGAGAGTGAAACTCAATGGTGTTCTATCTGACTGCCTAGAAGTCACCAGCGGAGTCCCCCAAGGATCTCTGTTGGGGCCTTTGCTATTTTTGTTGTTCATCAACGATCTACCGGATTGTGTACGCGAAGCGCTACCAGGATTGTTTGCTGATGATGTTGAACTCTTTGTAGCATATGAAAACGACACCGAAGACCCTGTAGTTGATGACCTTTTTCGTCTGAAGACGTGGGCAGATGAAAACAAGATGATGTTTAGTGCTGACAAATGTAAGTCCCTGGTCCTCAAGTGTAGCAGGGATGCACCGGGGCACCACCGCGAGAACCTGCCTATTACGCTTCATAGTGCTCAGAAGGAAAAATATTTGGGAGTCACTATAACTAGTAGTTTCTCTTGGAGCCCACACATAAAAGAGAGATGTGGCAAAGCAATGCAGAGCTTCTTCCTCATCAAAAGGAATTCCTCTTCTAGTTTGTCATTTTTATCGAAACTCAATTTGTATAAGTCTCTCATAGTACCCATTCTTCTTTATGGGCATCAAGTTTGGAATGCAAACAATACCGACTATATTATCATCGAACGAGTTCAACGAAGAGTGACAACTTGGATTCTAGCGGAGTCATCAGCTGTCCCATACAAAGATCGACTCCACAACCTAAAACTGCTACCTTTGTTGCTCTACATGCAGCTTCATGATGTGCTTTTCCTCTCTAAAGTCCTCAATAGCAACTATGATTTCGACTAGTTGCGTTTTGTGCAGTTCCATTGTGATAACTCGACACGCTGTGGTTCAACCGTTCAATTCGATGTCCGTAGAACTCGATTGCAGCGTAGTAAAAACAACTTTTGGTATCGCACTACAAAATTCATCAACAGTCTCCCACAAGCTTTAGACTTTTTCAACCATACTGGATTGAAAAGCAGGCTTTCTGCTTTCACTGGAGGTTTTTCTACAGTGTTTTTGATGATAGTCAACCATGTACCTGGCGCGTTGCGTGCCCTTGCAACTTATGTTTAAATGTGTCTCATAGTTACTTCATGTTGTTGTGATGTTTTTGTTTTATCTGTTCAGGGGACTTTGTCCCTACGCTTTTGTATTTTAAGCGTGAATTCACAT